ACTCACCTGGAGTCCATTAATGTTTTAACCTCAATCATCTGTTTTTAAACAAAATAATAGATGTTTTACATAATGAATAAATGGTATTATATATATACTTGTTTATAAACAATTGATATGTTTATTATATATCCAATAGATTATTCACATGTGGAATAGTATGCCCTGACAAAACATTTTAAACCAAAAATGTGCTATTGTAGTAATGCAAATTTATACACACCAGCAGTCTGTGAAGAGTGCCTAGTTGAATAAGACTCTGCTCAGAAATTATGCTTTATTTATTGCTGAATAAGTCCCTCCCAACCAAATGAGGTATCTGATATATGAATATTCAACATTAAATTTACCTATTACAAAAGAGTTTCAGATTAAGTTTATTCTAATAAGAGACAATTGCATACAGAATTTGGAACATTCCCCTATCAATGTAATCATTATGTTTATGTTATTAGCGCTGCATTTGACATTATCAACTACAGTATTCTTTTGATTAACCTCAAATTATGTTGGCATTAGTGGAATTGCATTAGCATATAGGACCGTCATTAGTTTGTAATGGTAAATGAAGAGGTATCATATCAATCACAAGTTCAGTAAGGAGTACCACAAGGCTCAGTACTAGGACCATTGCTTTTCACCCTGTACATGTTACCCCTGGGAGATATCATCAGGAAACATGGTGTTAACTTTCACTTTATGCTGATGATACTCAGCTCTATATTTCTTCACAGCCTGATGAAACATACCAGTTCACAAAACTAACAGAATGCAGAGGTGTTAATTGTTGGACCAAAAACCTCCACACATAATAACATAGAATACTCTCTAAAATGTGATAGCTGCTCTGTCAAGCTATCGTTAGGAACCTAGGTTTGCTATCTGATAACAATCTTTATTTTGAAAGCCAAACGTCTAGCATTTGTGAAACTGCATTTTTTCCATCTTAAAAAAATATAAATTACGACATATTCTCTCAATGTCAAATGCAGAAATGTTAATTCATGTGTTCATGAACTCAAGGCTAGATTCGAACGAAATAAACCAAGATAAAAATGCCCTCACAAATTTCAGAAGCACCCTCAGTGATTTGATTCTGGAACTGGGCCTGGTCGAAATTCTGGATTTTTCTGCATTATGTAAGGCAATGTTTATTGCATTAGCTACCATGTTAAATCATGCTTACAGTATGCTTGCTTTTCTATTAAAATTATCAGTGGTTTGCGAACATAGATGCTTTATTAACAAATAATTTATCTGAAGCATTTATTGGGATGTGCACCTAACTTGAAACTATTTCATGGCTACTTAATTGTGTTTTAAAGGGAAAGTTAAAACACTACAAGGCTAGTGTCCTAGCACTGGTCCTAACTTGCCTTTATGTCCTCCTACAATATTTGTCTGAGACGAGAGGGCTTCTGGTTAAACACGAAGAAGAACACATCATAACTGTCCAAAAGCAAATCCTCTCTATATTTGCAGAAAGGAAAAGAATAGTATAAAACAGTATGGGGAGTGGGAGTTATTATTTTATAATTATTATTATTTATAATTTTTCACAAAGGGGAATAATTTATATAACTAGCACATCGTCTTTATAAAATTGATTTTAATCAATTGATTTAAATTGATTAAATAATTGATTTGGTTTCAATTAGGGGTGAGGGAAAAAATCGATACAGCATAGTATCGCAATATTTTCCACGGCAATACTGTATCGATACACGGACGCCAAGTATCGATCTTTTATTATACTATTTGGTAGAATAATACAATTAATTCCTTTACAATCCACTAGATGGTGGTGTTGAGTTTTTTTTCTGGTGAGTTCACCTGGGTCACCTTCAGCATGCAGTAAGTTAGTAAAATAAAATAAATCAATATTTTATATGAGCATGTGTTCTGTCCAATATTTAACCAGCGCTGGGTTGCCAAATATCCCAGAAATGGTTGTTTTTAACCCAGAATTTTTTGTGTGTAGGTTACCCTACTACTACAGTTCATGTTGAAGCAGGGAAACCGTCTCAGGTTACTTATGTAACCATGGTTCCCTGAGTAGGGAACGAGACACTGCGTCCTCTAGGGGTCGCTATGGGGAACGCCTCGTCGTGACCCGTGTCTGAAGCATACGTTGAAAAAACACCAACAACACGTTGGCCGGCGACAGTCATGACGTCACTACCGGCACGACTATAGTATAAATAGGCGCCGGGAGAACACATCATCCACTTCTTCGTCTGAAGCTTGCATCCGAAGCATGGCAGGAAACCTAGAGGACGCAGTGTCTCGTTCCCTACTCCGGGAACCATGGTTACATACGTAACCTGAGACGTTTTGCCACACTAACCATAGTTTAACCATGGTATTTGTAATAAAACTGTGGTTATACA